CAATGTGAAACAAAACTTAAAATCATTAAAAAAAAAAAAAAAAAGGTCCAGGTTTGCCAGTCTGATAGAGCCTGGTGGAACCCCTGAGACTATGGTCCCTAGCTGCCCTTCATGTCTGGAATTAAACCCAATCCTGTGGCTTCCAGCCAAACAAAAGACAGGCATAATATGAGCTGAGTATTTACATTAGGTAGATACACTCCTTGGAGAGAACATTCATGGGAGAATAGAAAGGCTGTGTATGCACAGGGAGACAGCTCCAGGGGATAGGAGTGCATGGAAGGAAAGGACACAGGGAAGAGATAACTATGGGGAGGAAGTGGGAAGAATGCTGTTGCATTGTGGGAAATTGTGGTCAGTGTCACAAGACAAAGTATGTGAACTGATGTATGGAAAGTGAATTTACTCTGTAAATTTTCACCCAAATCACAATAAAAATATTTTTTTAAAAAGAAGCACCATACTGTTTTCCACAATGGTTGCACCATTTCATAGTCCCACCAGCATTGTTTGAGCGTTCCAGTCTCCAGGAGGGTAGTTTCATGTGAGTGAGTGCAAACTCACTTGCATCACTGGCCAGTAAGCTGCAGTTCTGACTCAGGATCTGAGCTATCAATCGGCTAAGCTTGCACACTCCCCAGCTAACCATGTCCAACTGGGGGCTCCAGCTCTCACTTCACTTGGTATGGAGCTAAGGATAGACATACGTTGTTCTTTTTATTTTGTATTGCTTTTATTGTGATTTGGGTGAAAGTTTATAGAGAAAATGTTTTTCCGTTTAACAATCTAAATATATTCTGTTTTGTGACATTTGACATGTGTTGTTCTTATATGGCTGTTGGCAAGGATTTCTAATCTGGGTTTGGGATTAAGTACTAGGAGAGGCCCTACACCAAGAGAACAAACCTAGGGATTAAACTAGTAAACCTTTGAAGCAGTTGGTACATTTTGCCATCTTACTAAGGCTCCCTGTTCTTCCGCTGTGAGGGTGGCATAGGAAACAGATGGAATCTGTGTATGAGTCTCCTGCACAGTCAGTCATAAAGGAGACCTCTCTGACCTTTGCTACACTGTACTCAAACTGACTGATTTCTCTAGTCTAGATTAGCGATTGGAGCATGGAAGGCAACCAGCATAACTCCATTCCTTGCTGTTGAGATTTATGCTTCACAACTTTGAAACACTCATTACTCTCAAATAATTGAATCTCATCAAGTAATAAGTAAAAATAATGAAGTAATGAAATGTGGCATTTGCCACATTTTATGCCAGTTTCTCCCATTGTCAAATTTTAATGTAAAGTTGCATGATAGGCCTGAGGCAAGCAGCTGTTTCCTAAACAGCCTTTCTCTTTAAACTGCCCTGCGGGAGGCAGTGAGGTGACTGGTGGAATCACCTGAGGGTAGAATTGAAGAGGCAGAGAAGAGACTCTACTTTTGTGTAATAGATTTCTAAATTGATTTAGAATGCCACAAGGAGCACATATTATATCTAATAATTTTATAGTGGGAATGTCTTGGTTTTATGTATGTATATCTATACACACATACATAAGGCTCTCTGATAGTGCAGTGCCTAAGGCATTTGAGTGTTAACTGGAAGGTTGGCGGTTCAAACCCACCAACTACTCCATGGAAGGAAGATGGGCCAATCTACTTCTGTAAACTTTTACCACCTCAGAAACCCAGTGGGGGTTGGTGTGAGTTGTAATTGTCTCGATGGCAGTGAGTTTGGTTTGATTTACACACTCACACACACACACACATATGGTGGGGTAAGAATGAATAAAGAGCCCTGCTGGCACACAGTTAAGCACTGGGCTCCTAACCAAATAGTTGGTGGTTCAGGCCCGCCCAGCAGCTCCATGGGAGAAAGACCTGACAAAATTCTTCCATAAAGATTACAGTGTGGAAAACCCTATGGGGCAATTCTGCTTTGTCACATAGGGTTGCTATGAGTCAAAATCAACTCAGTGGCACCTAACAGCAAGAATGAATTGAAATGTAAAGACTATTTCAAGTGGTGAAGTGCAGTTTTAGGTGGAATATTTAGTGTGTGTTTTCTAAGCCTAAGGAAACTTCTCATTTTCCTCAGTTCCTTTTGGGTAGCATTCTGATTGAACCAACTTAGACACACATCAAAAACTAAGATGTACTAGTAACCTAACTTTAGTCATCCCCAACATTGCACACTAAAATACTCCCAAGTCCCAGCTACTGACACTCGCTAATGGCAACATTTTACACATTGTCGTGCCACTAAAACGGTGGACACTGCTTTGCTTTTTGTTGTGATGGGACTTGAATTGTGCTCCAAACCTGAATTTCCAAATTATGAATCCCAGAACTCCTTGGCACTAAGAAGAAAATTTGCCTCTATCCTACCTGCCCTAGTAACCGTATTTGATGAGGGAGTTTGCCCAGTACCCAGCCCACCTTCCCAAGGCGAGTTCAGCTCCTGCTTGGAGTTCTGTGAGTTAACACAGGGCTGACTATAGATGAGATGATTTGGAATATGCATAATCACTTAATCACTAGACTGTTTTCAAGACTTTCTCAGCCTTTTTAAAATTACTGAGGAACATGCATTCAAACAAGACTTCCTGGATATACTGAGACTGGGAAAAACCCCAAATCTATTGCCCTGGGGTAATCCTTAAATCTGCAACCAAAGCTATCCCCTGAAGTCATTGCTAAGCTAAACAACAGTTTATCTCAATTAACATAATGTTTGCCTTGAGTGTTACACTCTTTTAAAGAATTATATGAGACCAAATGAACAACAGTAATTTTCAAGCACAGATGAAAAGTTTAGGAGACAGTGAGTCTAAGTCATTGGTGGTGAAATGCACAGAGAAGGTGAGAATAGTGGCACAATATGAACAATGTAACCAGCTCTTTGAACTGTGCATGTAAGAATTGTTGAATGAGTACATATTTGTTTATATTTTCAACAACAAAAAAAAAAGAAACAGGGAAGACTATTATACAGACAAATAAACACACACATACATTCATTGCAGTGTCCTGATCTAATTAATCATTCTTGCCTCTGGGGAATTTTTTACTATAATTGAAGCCATTTTTCCTCAAAGCAATCGCCATGCAAAGTTGGCCTAGACTGCTGCAGGCCCAACCTCAAAAGCAGGCTGGCCTTGCTGGCCAGGGACCCAAGTGATAGGGAAGCAGAGTGCCCAGGGCTGGGGGTAGCAGCGTGACTGAGAGTGTACGCTTATTCTTCATTGAGAGTCCTCTTTATTTTCCATAATAATGTGACCCCAGCAGATTGTGCCTGCTTCTATTGATCTTTATTTTTCTGCCTTCTGAGTATGGAGTTCCTGGAGGTCAGTTGAGAGCAATAATGGAAGTAGGACAGATGTCTGGTGCAGGAGAGCAGAGAGGTTGGGAAGGAGGAAAGGGACACTATGAAGAAAGGCCAATGATACCCAGACTGAATTTTACCTGCTTTAACTACTGTCCTTGCAGTGACCCTGGCTTCTGAAGGATGAGATGACGAGATCACACTTGAACCTTAAGACTCTTGACAAAGACTTGAGATAGTACCTGGGCTCAGTGAACCTCAGAGAATGGTTTTACCAAAAATAAATTGTATTAGTATTGTTCTCTCACTGATGTGACTAATTACTGAGACATACTAGGAAGAGTAGAGCAATATTCACTTGCAGTGCAGTGAATTACTTAATACAGCTCTTCTAGCCATGTTGTTGTTGTTATGTGCCGTCGAGTCAGCCCCGACTTATAGCGACCCCTCATTGGGTTTCCAAGGCAGTATCACTACGGAAGTAGATTGCCCCATCTTCCTTCCAGGGAGTGGCTGGTGGGTTTGAGCCGCCAGCCTTCTGGTTAGCAGTCAAGTGCCTTAGCCACCATAGCCATAGTCCTCCATTTTTTATGTATTACAAATCCTAGCCTCTGTGCTTGTGGTTATGATCCCATTTTGGAGTGAGTTGCTTATTATGTTAATGAGGCAGGATTAGAATGGGCTGTATCTTGAGTTATAGTCTTACTAGAGGGTGTGACTCAAGTCACCATGCTCCTTAGTTTCCTTGAGGGTATGGTTTGCATCCAGTATATATGAACGCTCTATCAAAATGCTCCCTCTTGCTCTGGATTTTGCATCTGGTTGGTCATCGTCTGACCTAGAGTTCTTGGAACCTCAGCCAGCAGCCTGTCATCTGACCTGCTGATTTAGGTTCCTCAGCCCTTGCAACCACATGAGTGAGGCAAGTCCTTCAAACTGATGCCTGATCCATGGATTTGGGACTTTGTAGCCTCCACAACTGGGTGAGCCATTTTCTTGGTGGTTTGTGAGTTCTATGAGACATTGCAGTGAATTTTGGAACCCTAAGATGAGAGAAAGTCCTGAGAGGAGAGGAGGAGTTGATGTTAGAGATGATGCAGTGATACAGCAGTTGGGAAAGTTGGATATTTGGGACATCTTTAACCTCCACCTCATAGGGACCAGCCTTTTGCTGATCTTTCTAAAAGAAATTATTTGTGTATCACCCCAAGCTTTGAAACACCCCAAGTCAGTGAGAATAGCATTGTCACTCAGACAAGTTGACACTACTCAGTTTGAGATTTGGAGAAGATGATACACATCATTGATTCAGTGATTTTGTTTGTAAGCAATTAACAAATGTCATCTCTCTTCTTTACTTTGATTCTTTTAATTGTGCTTTCAGATGGGAGTTAATTTAGGAACAATGGCTAAGCAGGGGAAATCACTGTAGATTTTGTGCTAGAAGGTATCATAGGCATTTGCTCACCTCAAAGAATCATCCTCAAAGAAGCAAATGCCAGCACATTGTAATCTATCAGAACAAGAGGCATGTGTTTTTACCAGGGCTGATTCCTACAGCAGACCCCAAGTTGAGACCCTTTTCAGGATCCTATTTGTGTGGTTAGGTAGTTGTTTGAACACTTGGGATACATATGTGGGTTTCGAGCTCTGTCTTCTAGATTTGCTTCAAGATGAGATCAAATGTGGTGACGATTATAGAGATATGATGGGTACAGGCCGTCATAATGCCACTGGCGCCACTGCTCAATGGCCTCCCTGTTTCTTTCTTCCTGTTCTGTGGAGAAAAGGTAAAGATGTCATGTTTGGATGGGGTGCTGCAATCTAAGGAGAGCCACGCATACTGGGCAGCTGCAGCCCAGTTTGAGAAATTGCCTGCCCCCTGGTAACATGAACAAAGTGTCATGTTCATTTGTGACCTCAGACCCTAGAATGCCAGAGCTGGAATAAGTATAAGAGAATATTGAGTTCAAAGACCTCATTTTGCAGATAAGGCAATAAGGACCCAGAAAGGTGAAGGTCACAGAGCTGGTTACCAATAGAGCAGAGACCAGACAGAGCCTGGGTTTCCAGTTCAGTGTTCTTTCCCTCAGAACCAGCAAAAAGAAGAGCCTTATGCAATCCCTGGCTAGAAAAGACAACAACTAAGGGATACAAGGTACATGTTGAAAAAACTACTGGAAGAAAATAAACAGTTGTCAACTTTGTGCGTGATGATAGTATGGATAATATTTTCCTCTACACTTTTCTGGGTTTGTTTTTTTTTTTTTTTTCCAAAAAAACTTTTAAAGCTATATTTTAAAATCTAACTGGAAAAAAATACCAAAAGAAGTCAGTGTGGAAAAATCTTGATAATTTTTTATTCTAGGTGATGGTTGTTTAAGGCATTCATTATACCATATACTTTTCCATATGTTTGAAGTTTTTCATAGTTAAAAGCTAAAAACAGGAGTTTTTAATGAGTGAGAAAGTCCTGATTTTACTGTCTTTGAGAAGACATGTTTATGAATAATGCCTTTGTGTAATTGGGGATTAGGCTTCTGACGTCAATCACAGATAATAGACTAAAGCACTAGCACAAGGCCCTCAGTGTTTGAAAGTATTCATGAAAAGTGTTTGGAGCATGGGAATGTAGAAGATCACATCTTCTAAAACCCAAGATGTTTTCCTTGCCTGTTTTCTCAATTGTGGACTTCATCATAAAGGCTGTGAACTTGATTTTGGTGCTAGAGAAACTAGTATCCTCTGTGGCCTTGACCCTGCAGTCCTTAGCACCTGGGAGGCCCAGAGGCTTGGGCCAAGATTCACTCCAACAAGAAGGGCCCCTGTCACCACTTGGTGCTCAAGCACCAGGGCTCCTGAATGTTTTCTTCCTGGTGAGAGCTAAGATGTCAGCGCTACCCTTGGTGCTGAAAAATACTCTTAGGTAACTTGGTACCCCAGAGATAGCCTGGGGCTCACAAAGTCATGCCCCAGTTGGAGCTTTGGGTATTAGCTCTTGGCTCTTTTAGGTCTTTCTAAAGGCCAGATAGACCACCTACTCTTGCCAATTTTAAGAGCATAGTTTTGATGTAGACATTGATGTTTTCCCCCTACATCATGCCAAACTCTTCTTAGATTGTTTCACTTAAGCCTTTCGTGACCCTGGGGAGCCCCCCTACTGGGCCACTCTGCTTTACCCACCTCACTTCATCCATCCTCATGGACCAATTCCTGCTTCAATGAAGACCTCCAAGACCTCATGCTTTGATCATCCTTGATTTGTGAGAACACAAGTTTGGCTGGCAAAAATACCTTAGTTTAAGTCCTAGGGCGTACTAGTCCTAGTCCTCCTAGTCCTTACTAGCTATGTTGCCTTCAGCAATTCAGGCATCCTTTCTAAAGCCTCAATTTCTGAGACTGTAAAAATGGACATTATAAGACCTCTCTCCACAGTTGGTTGTATTAGATTTTCAGTGCCTGACATAGGAAGTGCTCCTTCAGTGACAACAGCTGCTGTTACTACAGTCCCCAAAGGCAGTGCCTTGCTCTGCAGTGACTTCTCCACCCCCCACCCCTGTGGGACAGGCACGAGGCCCTGAGTTTAGGGATCCTCTGAGTTTGCTAGAGGATCTGTCATTTGGTAGGAGCTCTGGTAGCTTAGTGCCTAAGGCACTTGACTGCTAACCATAAGGCTGGCGGTTCAAACCCACCAGCCACTCCTCAGAAGGAAGGTTGGGCAATCCTACTTCCGTAGTGATACTGCCTCGGAAACCCAAGGAGGGGTTGCTATGAGTCGGGGCCGACTCGATGGCACAAACTATCATTTGGTATCCAACTAACTCACTCTCCATGAAATGGAAAACAGAGGAGGTGTTTTACCCAGATCTGAACCAGAAACATTTGAAAACGCACACAGTAAGATGCAGTTAGTAATAATATGAGTATAAATTACATTGATGGAATTTTGGAGGCCACATTCTCATTTTTATAATGCCTCTCACCAAGCTGTCCAACAAAGTAAGCAAGTCTCCAAAAGAATATGTTGCCTGTGAGAGTTATAGCAGCCTGACTTTTTTGAAGTATGTGATTTGCAGGAATCTAAGCCCAGGGACTGCCTGTGGGGCTCTCCTGGCACCACATTGCAGAGGAACAGATGCCCTGCCGCCCTCAGGTGCCTGACAGTCTCATCCTTTTCATATATAGATTCCCTCCCAAATCCATCAGAGCAAGAAAGCTAAGGACAGACACATTTGACTTACTACAGGTAATTTAACTGGACAGCTGAGCTCATGTGCACCCAGGAGCTGCGAGGTGATTTTGCTCAGAAGTATTTCTATCTGAAGTTTTGGGAAAAGACTGAAACACATAATGGCATGCTAGTCTGACGTCATTGATTTCTCCTACTGCTTCTTGTGGGTGATGCTTGAAGTCATTTAATACACTGCAAAGTCAAATCCCTCCTTGTAGCAGGCTGTGGTTCAAAGACAGAGCCTCCCTCTACCCCATTCCCCCTCCAAAATATACCCTCCCCTCCCCTGAGGACTTAGTACAATCAAGATGTCTTGATTGTGCCAATTGCCTGGCTTTTTCTTTGAGCTCCCTTGACTTTTTTTTATCCCCTTTATCTGTTGGTAAGAGGCAAAAGGCCAAGGCTTAGCAAGGGCACTAACAGCAACTGTGTTTACTTGTGAACAAATATGTAGAAATATTCAGGTTGCCTTATGCTGTGAAGGAGCGCTGGTGGTATAGTGCCTGAGGCATTTGACTGCTAACCAGAAGGTTGTTGATTCAATTCCACCAGCCACTCTGCAGTCTACATCCATAAGGATTTACTGCCTCGGAAACCAAATGGGAGCCGCTGTGAGGCGGCATGGACTCAATGGCAGTGGGTTTGGGTTTTGCTTTTCTCGTGCTGTTGGGGGGCTGGAATTGGGATTGAATGCCATGGAGTAGCTGCAGCTGTCGGTGTTGTGGGTGGGGAGTATGCAAGGCAGGGCAGCAAGGACCAGTGCTTTCTGAGTTTCCTGTTCAATCAGATAAAATGAAGATTATAGTGAATTGGTAAATGATGCTCTTGGTTTTCCAGAATGAAGTCATTCCTACATTACATGAACGTGGATCCAAGGGACTTGGAAGTGAGTTTAAAATAAAATACTCTCAGCCAACTACCATAGCTAAGCCACTAGTTCAAAGGCTGAGTCAGTGAACACATGCCTCCCCAAGTAAGAGGAGGGAGGGAGATGAATTTTATATCTATTCTGTCAGCAAACAAACCCCATCCCCACAGCCCCAAGCCAGTGGTTAATTAGATATTCTCTTCCAAGTTCCTCACGACCATTTGTGATTTCTCTTATTTGTTCTTTTCAAGGATCCATGGATGTGAGTTGAAACCAGATCTTTCCTTACCACCAATTTAAACCAAATTTAAATTGGGGGAGAAGTGATGCAAATCATTCGATTTTTTTCCACAAAGTCCCACTTCTCTGAAGATGCTAACTGAGCTCTTACCATCATTTTGCTCCTCCACAAAGTTCTCAAACTCATTCCTTTGTTCCTCGTAATATTCTCTCCGCAGCTCATCAACCCACAGCTTCTGCCTGTTCTCCGCTGTAAAAAGGAAAAAGGCAAGAGTTGTCCCCAAGAGACTCATGCATGTAACAGACACCAGTCATTTGCCTGAGAAGTTTAATTTGGTTGGAAGGGATTGTGAAGTATTAAGAGTGGGAGCTTCATTGAAAGGATTTACTCCTGAATTACATTTAACAACTTGGTTTTGGGTGATGAAAAAGTTTTGGAAATGAACAGTGGTGTGGGTAGCAAAAATAAACAAAACTTGAAGGACCTATGAGGTCATCTGATCCACCCACCTCATTTTACAAACGGGAAGATGGAAGCTTCAAAAGATAAGGTGATTCAGAGGATATTCCACTAACATAAAGGTAGTGGTTATCCAAGTAGAGGAGGTCAATTGCAAATCTGATGATCAGAAGTTAATTCCATGAGAGAAAAATCCAATTTAAAGTTATATTAATAATTAATATTTTCAAGTTTATTCAATATTTTTGAGCACTTGTTACTGAACTTCCCTACACTGGACATAAAAAGGCAAGCAAGGAAGGGTCGGTCTTTCAACTTAAGAGGCTTAGAGTCCCATTAAAGGAGGAAAATATTAAAGCAAGTGGCACCAAGCTGCTCTGATAGAAATCTATTCAGGTCACAAGGCATGCAGTAGGCAGGCCCTGAGAGGGCTCCCAATGGTTCCCGCCTTCTCATAAGTGTAGTCCACTCCCCTGGAGCGTGGGCTGGACCTGTCACAGAGATATGGCAAAAATGATGGATGTTACATCTGAGATTAAGTTACAGAAGAGTCTGGCCTTATCTTGGGCTTCTCTCTCTCTAGCTCTCTCATTCTTGCTCTCAGAGAAGTCAGCTGCCATGTTGTCCACTATCTGTGTAGAGGCACACATGGCAAGGAACTTAAGTCCTCTGCTGGTAACAGTGAAGAACTGAGGTCTGCCCAAAACCATGGAGGTAAGTTTGAAAGCAAATCTCACTCCAGCTGAACCTGAGATGTCTGCAGAACCTGCCAACACCTTGACTGCAACCTGTGAGAGACCCTGAGCCTGAGGCCTCCAGCTTCCTGTCCACAGACACTGAGGCAATAAATTTTTGTTTTAAGCTGCTGCTAAGTTTTGGGTAATTTGTTGCACAGAAATAGATCATGAACACAGGCCGTGAGAGGTTAAGGTCAACATCCTGATGGTGGAGAATACCAAAGACAGGTACCCCTTATTGTGTAGTCAACGCTTGCCACATAATTTGGTTGTAAACATTTTCGTAAAGAATCCCATTTTCACATTATAAAATTAGAGGTACTTCTGTGGTTGGAAAATATACCCCCAGTGATAACTGAAAACTGTTCTTGAGAACAAGTAAAGTAGGCCTTGGCTGTTGGCTATTGAAGCTCAACTGCCCGTATCTTGTGCCCCAGAAGGAGCCACCCTTGAGCTACCACATTACAGCTCACCACAGTGCAGCTGTCACACCCATGCAGTAATTTTGCCTGAGAAATTTCTTTAGCTTTTAGATGTTTAAATATAAGATACATGCATTTCCAGGATTCATAATTTTTTTTTTTTTTTATTGTGATTTGGGTGAAGATTTACAGAGCAAATTCACTTTCCATATAGCAGTTCACATATACTTTGTCTCATGTCATTGACCACAGTTTACCACAATGCAACAGCTCCCCTCCCATTTCCTCCCCATAGTTAACTCTTCCCAGTGTCCATCCCTCCATACATTCCTGCCTCCTGAGCTGTCTCCTTGTGCATAAGCAGCCCTTCTTTCTCCCATGATTGTTCTCTCTAAGTAGAGGATCTACTTGAGGTAAATGTTCAACTCATATGCCTATATTTTGTTTGGCTGGAAACCACAGGTGTGGGTTCCATTCCAGACCTGAAGGGCAGCTAGGGGCCATAGGCTCAGTGGTTCCACCAGGCTCTGTCGGCCCAGAGGACTCATAATTTTTGCTCTGTCTTTATATTGCCCTCTTCAGTATCAGGGTTTCCTGGTGGGAATTACTCAAAGCCCTCTAACAAAAATAGAAACCCATTACTATGGAGTCTGCTCCAACTCATGGAGACCCCACGTGTGTCAGAGGAGAACTGTGCTCCATAGGATTTTCAGTGTCTGGTCTTTGAGAAATAGATCGCCAGGTCTTTCTTCTGAGGCACGTCTGGGTGGATTCCAAACTCCAACTTTTTGGTTAGCAACCAAGCACATTAACTGTCTGCACCACCCAGAAACTCTTTAGGACCTCTCTATTTTCTTTTAACATGGGCTTCAAATGGAAAAGTCCATGAGGGTAGGTAGAGGATGTTGGTTTAGGGCAGTAGGTGCAGGAAGTACTAGTCCCTAAAAACTCCTCACTCCCATGATGTGATTCCCCTCACGTAAAAGGGGAGGAGACCGAGGTGCTGCTGTTGCCTGCACCAACTCCATGTGCAGGAGGAAGTGAGGTTTGATGAGGAAAACAGAGAAACATGGCCGCCAGCAGTCCCTTTCCTTACCCTACATTATAGGCGTACAGGGAGAAATAACAAAAAAAGTATTTGTCTGTAAAATAATACTGTTAAATCATTTCAAATCCTTGCAAGTAAGGAGTTTACCTTAATAAGTAAATTGTAAGAATGGTTGTTAATTGCTGTCGATTCAGCTCTAACTCATGGAGACCCCAAGTGTGCAGAATAGAACTGCTCCATTGGGTCTTCAAGACTATGACCTTTTGGAGGCAAGTTGCCAGGCTTGTCTTCTGAGGTGGCTCTAGGTAGGGTCCAACCACCGTTTTGCTTAGTAGTCAAGTATTTGATAATTTGCACCTCCCAGGAACTCCTTAAATACTAGTTACCAGATGAAAAATCAAGTTATCAGTGAATTGATCTTAGTGTAGATTTCTTAGGTAAATCTTCACAGACTTTTGCCCTTTCACAAACAGTTGCAGGAAACTTTAGGGTGGCATAAGTGATTGGGACTCCAATCCATTCCCATCCACAGTTCATACCCACATCCACATACATTAAGAGAAATTCAGGCTCAGAGAGCTGCAGTGGCCTAACCAAGGGCACACAGCTCCTCAGGGGCAGAGCTGAGACTAGAGCCCAGAGCATTAGGCTTCCACACTTGTCTCTTGGCCCAGAACACACAATGCTTCCTCTTATGCCCAACGTGAGCATCGCTGTTGCTGCTGGCACCAGAAAGTGTGGTGAGGTGAGAGGTACTTATGGTTTAGGAAGCAGGTGCTTAATGGGTTACCACTAATTCCTAAAGAAGCATTTTCCATCCCTTAGGTAATCCAGAAAGGAAACAATCTTTTCAAGTTTCCCTTTAGGGGGTGTGACAAATTGAATCTCTGATTCAGCAGTGAATAAGAAAATTACAATTCTCAGGAAAAGATGGCATTTTTATACTAGGCATTCTATGCATAGTATATGTCTTTCTCAAGAACATGCATCTCATCAAATTAGTTCCTCTCATCGTAAAGGAGCTCTGGTGGTATAGTGGTTAAGGCATTTGGCTGCTAACCAAAAGGATGGTGGTTTGAACCCACCAGCCACTACACAGAAAAAAGATGAGGCAGTCTGCTTCTATAGATTTACAGCCTTGGAAAACCAATGGGGGTCTCTATGAGTCAGAATCAACTTGATGGCATTGAGTTTGATGTGGTTTTTTGTTTCATCCAAAAGTAACTGGAGCCTTTCCCCCAGAAGCTTAGAGATGTCAGATGCCTGCTTCCTGGTTCCAAATTCAAGTTTATCCAAGTGTCTCTTGCCTCTTACCCAACTTGAGAGCTAATTGGGCATTGTTCTCCTGCCCACCCACAGGGGTTAACTAAAGGACAGCAGAGTGAACTCATGCACAGTGCCAGGTTTCACCAGGCTCTCTGGAGCCTCCCACAACTGCTGGGGTTTGTCTCACACACTAATCTTCCTGTCTGAGCCAAGCACCCTCAGACTTCATCTTGCACCAACTTTTTCTGAAGATGAAAAGTCTTTGACTCTCCTAAGTTCATGCCATCTTCTCCACTGGGAGTCAGCCAAAAGGTTGCTTCCCTGATTTCAATTGAGAACTAGTCAATCTCTATCACTATTTTTCAGTGTTTTAAAATCCAAAAATGTGCCAACTTTTAAGACCAAAGTTGTGTAAGGCCTGGAGATTTTCCTAGTGTGGTTATACTTATCCAATTTAAGAAAAAAAAAAAAAAGGAATTCACCTCCAAGCATTTTCATCTCTGTCCCTCATCATCATTTGAAAACAGCCCTGTTATTTTTACTGAGCATCTGCCATGGGAACGTTACCTTGCTGGTGTGCTGAGGGAGACAAAGACTTTATTCATGGCACACACAAGCAATGGATCAAGCCACAGCCTAGGGGACAGGCAGAGCTCAAAGTCCTTGGAAGAATCCAGTTTGGGATAGAAAACTCAAATATCTTCAAGGGTCAGGCAGGTCAAGGCAGTGAGTGAACCACCAGGCATGGGGACATAGGCCTACTGCAGGCTGTGTGACACCAAACTTGAAAGCCTTGCCAAAATGCATTTGGAATTAAAAGTTTATAAAACAGTGCTGGATGAAGGTAATTCTCACAAGGTCTTATAAATAAGTAAATTTCATGGGGCCCAGGAGAGGAAGTGGCTGACCTGAGGACACTCAGCACCAAGCTGTCGCCAAAACCCACATTTTCCAGCTGCCAGTCCTGCTGCTCTTTCCCTCATTGCATGCCCTCCATGTGCAATGATGTCCTTGCACAGTAGGTCCTCTGTGGTTAATACCCAGAAAAGCATCCACAGAAGTGATAATCCCCTCCAGTCTGGAACATGTATCTCCCCATTTACACTTCTAACTTTCCAATATTGGAATGCGTCTTGCAACTGTTAAGTGCATATGATGTGCAGTCCTGCATGGCGTGAACATTGAATGTTCACAGCTGCTAACTGAAAGATTGGAGGTTCAAGTTTACCCAGAGGCACCTTGGAAGAAAGGCCTGGAGATCTGCTTCTGAAAAATCAGCACTTGGTGTGTCATTGAGCCTTTCTGTTCCTCACCCTAACAGTGTATTAAATCCAAGAGGTGGCTTACAACCAAAGATAGAATGGTGTCATTTTTCATTCAGAACTACATGAACTTTAATTACTTGGAGGCCTAGGCTTAACCCTCAGCCTCTGTCCTCCAGCCTGACCAACTGTGAGAGCAAGAAACCAAGGGTACAGGCAGAAAGCAGGCAGAGCCCACACACTGCCAGCATCCTTACCATTGACCTCATCTCGGGATTTAGGGGATCTTTTGGCACACTTCTTGAGGAAATTGGCAGCATCTGATTCCTGCATGAAAATCTTCTGTTTGACACCTGAAACCCAAGACAGGCTGTCATTACCAGCACAGAGGTGCCAGGGCCGCAGAGGAGCTGGCTCCATCTGCCCTTCCCCATGACCCCTGCACTCACCTTCCTGGTTCTCTTCTGCTGCTGCCAGCCGGGTTCCCACTGACACACTAGCCCCCTCCCGCAGCACTGTGGGATAAGAGCGTGGAGTGAGGGCCACCCTATGTGCTGAGTGGAGCCCTCATCCCCAGCCAGGTCAGACAGTCCTTTCCAAGCTGAGGAACTTGTCAGACCCCTTTGTGTCTCTCACATACAAGCCACAGAGCCAGTTTCTCCAGGAAACCACTAGGCAAGTTGTTTTTCCCTACATTGTTTTACGCACAGCACAGCACTGCTAAATTATTGCTAATTAGCAATAATCATACCCCTTTTCTACCTAGGTCATATGATCACATACTTACCTTATACCAGTCCGTCCTTGACCCTCCCCATACTCACAAGACAGAAGCACAATGGACGAAAGACAGGAGAGGAAGATCTGCCTCCAAAACATCTTTGCAGAGTCTGAGGCTCACTCTGAAAACCACAGGACGGACGAGTTGTTCTGCAGACCCAGATGCTGCCCGGCCAGGAAGGAGGGAAAGAGAGAGGCAGGAGGCTGGGATGCCACTAGCTGGGAAGGTGGGAGGGGTCCCGGCTGCAGCTTCCATTGGCTGCTCCTAGCTGGAGCACCAGAGAGGTTTTTGGCGACTTCCAAACCTCTACAGAAACAGCTTGTCATCAGGCCCCCTGGCTGGGACAAATTGGAAGTGGCCTCTCCAAGGTCCACACCCAAGAAGTTGCAGTTGAGAATGTCCAACCTGAGAGTCAGGATTGAAAAGAGCAAGGGTATGCTTCAAAGAGCTCTTCACATCTGCTTGAAGGAGGTGAGAACCCTAGTCCCTCAAAGCTGAAGTGTGTGTGTACATTGGGGAAGGTTAGAGGAGGGGATTTAGACTGAGAAATGCTGGGGAGGAGGGACTACATGTCTGGAGTGCTCACATCAGAGTGACACACGGATACATGGGCCATTCTGATGGTAACTGGAATACCTCTCCCCCTGACACGTTTTCCCCCAGCTGATGCTCACTCCCAAACAAATGCAGAGCCCTGGATCTGGGAACATGAGGTCCTTTAAAGACATGGAGAAAGAGTTAATCAGTCTTCCACTGGAGAAAGGGCACAAGATTTGAAGAGCCTACCACACTTTTTTTTTTTTTTTTTTTTTCACTTTTATCATGGTGAAAACATACACAACAAGACATTCACCAACATAACACTTCCGTATTTACAGCTCAGGGACACTGATTGCATTTTTCATGTTGTGCCATCATTATTCTATCCTTTTCCAAAATATTCTACCAACATTAGCATAAACTCAATGCCCCCAAACAAAAGTTTCTCATTTCCCCCTCCCTCCTATCCCTGGTAACACTAATAATCTTTGGTTTCTTCTCTATATATACATACATACATACATGTATATATATACATTTTTCCCCCTCCAACCTATCTAGAAATTCCCTTTCCCCCATCCCAGGTAACCAACAAAGTTTCCTTCCATGTATAAACTTCCTTGACTTTTTACAGTAATGCAGTAATATAGTATTTGTCCTCCTATAATTGACTTATTTCACTCAGCATATTGTCCTCCAACTTCATCCATGTTATGCAGTGTTTCGCAGATTCTACATTATTCTTTAGGGTTCCATAGTATTCCATTGTGTGTATGTACTACAGTTTGTTCATCCATTCCTCAGTTGATGGGCAATTAGATTTTCTCCATCTCTTTGCTCTTGTGAATAGTGCTGCAATGAACATGGGTGTACATATATCTGTCCTCATCCTGGCTCTCACTTCTTTAGGATATATACCTAGTAATGGGATTGCTGATCAAATGGTATTTCTAATTCCACATTTTTAAGGAATTGCCATACTGCTTTTCACAGTGATTGTATCCTTTAACAGTCCCACCAGCAGTGTATGAGTCTCCCAGTCTCTCCACGTCCTTGCCAGCATTTGTTGTTTTCTGTCTTGTTGAACTTTACTATTAGTTCTGGAGTGAGATGATATCTCATGGTTGTTTTGATCTACATCTCCCTAATTGCTAATGATCACGAACATTTTTTCATGGTGGCTGCCTTAGTATCTTCTTTGGTGAAGTGTCTGTTCATGTCTTCTGCCCATTTTTTAATTGGATTGTTTGTCTTTTTGATGTTGAGGTGCTGGAGTTTTCTATAAATATTAGAGATAAGGCCTTTGTCTGATATGTCATTGCTGAATATTTTTCCCATTCTGTGGGTTCTCTTTTTAATCTTTTGGAAAAATCTTTTTTTTTTTAAATGTTATTTTATTTTTATT